CCATGTACACAAACAACAAGTGTGTGGTTAAAATTGACAAAGGACACACACATTTCTTTCCACAGGGCCGTGGGGTGAGACAGGGATGCAATTTTAGACCCACCCTCTTCAACATATATATCAACGAATTGGTGAGGGCACTAGAACAGTCTGCAGCACCCGGCCTCACCCTACTAGAATCTGAAGTCAAATGTCTACTGTTTGCTGATGATCTGGTGCTTCTGTCCCCAACCAAGGAGGGCCTACAGCAGCACCTAGATCTTCTGCACATATTCTGTCAGACCTGGGCCCTGACAGTAAATCTCAGTAAGACAAAAATAATGGTGTTCCAAAAAAGGTCTAGTTGCCAGGACAACTAATACAAATTCCATCTAGACACCGTTGCCCTAGAGCACACAACAAACTATACATACCTCGGCCTAAATATCAGCGCCACAGGTAACTTCCACAGGTAACTGGCTAAAAATACTTGAATCAGTTCTAGAACCCATTGTCCTTTATGGTTGTGAGGTCTGGGGTCCACTCACCAACCAAGAATTCACAAAATGGGACAAACACCAAATTGAGACTCTGCATGCAGAATTCTGCAGAATACCTGACCACTGTGACTGACTTAAATTTAAGGAAAGCTTTGACTATGTACAGACTCAGTGAGCATAGCCTTGCTATTGAGAAAGGCCGCCATAGGCAGACCTGGCTCTCAAGAGAAGACAGGCTATGTGCACGCTGCCCACAAACTGAGATGGAAACTGAGCTGCACTTCCTAACCTCCTGCCAAATGTATGACCATATTAGAGACACATATTTCCTTCAGATTACACACATTTGGATAAACTCCCTTATCTACTGGGTGAAATACCACAGTGTGCCATCACAGCAGCAATATTTGTGACCTGTTGCCACAAGAAAAGGGCAACCAGTGAAGAACAAACACCATTGTAAATACAACCCATATTTGTGTAAAAAAATTTCTCCCATTTGTACTTTAGCTATTTGCATATTGTTACAACACTGTATATTTACATAATATGATAGAGAGAAGAGAGAGAAGGAGAGAGAGAGGAGAGAGAGAGAGAAGGAGAGAGAGACAGAGAGAAGGAGAGAGAGAAAGAGAGAGAGAGGAGAGAGATAGAGCAGGTGTGTTGGGTAATTGCTACCACGGCAACATGTTACAAGTGTATGTGTAACCTCAAGGGTGGATGCTGGGTTACTTTAAGAGAGTTACCATGGAAACCAAAGTGGCACATGACCGTGTCAGCTGTGAGTTCCTGGTGACCCTGCCCTTCCTCCGCTGTGTGTGTGTGTATGTGTGCGCGCGAGCACGCTCATGTGTGTGCACGTGTGTGTGCGTCTGTGTGTGTGTGTGCATGTGTACCTGTGTGTGTGTGTGTGCGCATGTGTGTGTGTTTGTAATGATAAAGTCAGTAGAGCACAGTGTTGCAGCAGCAGTCTAATATATAACCCACTAAGTGGCATCACTGTGAGGCTGTCTTCTCAACAGGAGAGCAACAGGCAGCTTAATAAATCAAACAGCAAGGCTATGCCGTGGTAGAGACTGCCCTCTACTGGTCAAACAGCAAGGCTATGCCGTGGTAGAGACTGCCCTCTTACTGGTCAAACAGCAAGGCTATGACGTGGTAGACTGCCCTCTACTAGTCAAACAGCAAGGCTATGCCGTGGTTGAGACTGCCCTCTACTAGTCAAACAGCAAGGCTATGATGTGGTAGAGACTGCCCTCTACTGGTCAAACAGCAAGGCTATGCCGTGGTAGAGACTGCCCTCTTACTGGTCAAACAGCAAGGCTATGACGTGGTAGACTGCCCTCTACTAGTCAAACAGCAAGGCTATGCCGTGGTTGAGACTGCCCTCTACTAGTCAAACAGCAAGGCTATGATGTGGTAGAGACTGCCCTCTACTAGTCAAACAGCAAGGCTATGATGTGGTAGAGACTGCCCTCTACTGGTCAAACAGCAAGGCTATGACGTGGTAGACTGCCCTCTACTAGTCAAACAGCAAGGCTATGATGTGGTAGAGACTGCCCTCTACTGGTCAAACAGCAAGGCTATGATGTGGTTGAGACTGCCCTCTACTGGTCAAACAGCAAGGCTATGATGTGGTAGAGACTGCCCTCTACTGGTCAAACAGCAAGGCTATGACGTGGTTGAGACTGCCCTCTACTGGTCAAACAGCAAGGCTATGATGTGGTAGAGACTGCCCTCTACTAGTCAAACAGCAAGACTATGCCGTGGTTGAGACTGCCCTCTACTAGTCAAACAGCAAGGCTATGCCGTGGTTGAGACTGCCCTCTACTAGTCAAACAGCAAGGCTATGCCGTGGTTGAGACTGCCCTCTACTAGTCAAACAGCAAGGCTATGATGTGGTAGAGACTGCCCTCTACTAGTCAAACAGCAAGGCTATGCCGTGGTTGAGACTGCCCTCTACTGGTCAAACAGCAAGACTATGCCGTGGTTGAGACTGCCCTCTACTGGTCAAACAGCAAGACTATGCCGTGGTTGAGACTGCCCTCTACTAGTCAAACAGCAAGGCTATGATGTGGTTGAGACTGCCCTCTACTAGTCAAACAGCAAGGCTATGATGTGGTTGAGACTGCCCTCTACTAGTCAAACTATACAATGACAGCTGTCCCCTGAACTGCAACTACCCTGCTGGCTCCTCCCACTTCATCACTACAACACCAGCAGTTCCTCTCTCTCTCAATTCAGTTCAATTCAGGGGGCTTTATTGGAATGGGAAACATATGTTAACATTGCCAAAGCAAGTTAAATAGATAATAAACAAAAGTGAAATAAACAATAAATATTAACAGTAAACATTACACTCAGAAGTTCCAAAAGAATAAAGACATTTCAAATGTTATATTATGTATATATACAGTGTTGTAACGATGTGCAAATAGTTAAAGTACAAATGGGAAAATAAATAAATATAGGTTGTATTTACAATGGTGTTTGTTCTTCACTGGTTGCCCTTTTCTGGTGGCAACAGGTCACAAATCTTACTGCTGTGATGGCACACTGTGGTATTTCACCCAATAGATATGGTAGTTTATCGAATTTTCGAATTCTTTGTGGGTCTATGTAATCAGAGGGAAATATGTGTCTCTAATATGGTCTCTCTCTCTCTCCCTATCCCCCCCCCCCCCCCCCTCCTCCCCCCCCCCCCCCCCCCCTCTCTCTCTCTCCTTCCTGCCATGTGGCACACGTTGTATTTCCTCTAACCTAGACCATGCTTGTGTCCCATATGGCACCCTCTTCCCTATCTTGTAGAGCCCTATGGGTCTTTGTCAAAAGTAGTGCACTATATAGGGAATAGGGTGACATTGAGGACGTATCCATGATTCTATAAGAGTCATCTCAGGGTACAAACTAATGACAAGACGGAACTATAACACATGTGCAGGACACACACACACACACGTGCACATACACAACCACACACACGTGCACATACACAACCACAACCACACACACGTGCACAACCACAACCACACACACGTGCACATACACAACCACACACACGTGCACATACACAACCACACACACGTGCACATACACAACCATACACACGTGCACATACACAACCACACACACGTTTTTTTGCAGATCAATAGAACAAAGAACAAGTGGAAAGAAACAAACACAACAAAAACTAAACAAATCTAAAATATAAGGAGTTTATTTCAGCTCATAAATACACGTAGCCTTAAAATTACATAGAAAATAAATACAGATTGCCAAAATATCAATTTCTATGTACATTAAGTACAATATATTTTACAATATAAATATAGCTACTGTACCTTTACAGAAGTAAACATATATTCACATACACTTAAATTCATATCTTAAAGGGATAGTTAAGTTTACACTACCAATGTTTCTCCATTTGGCTTTGATTTCTCCTAATACATATTTTCCTTATATAGAATCTACATCAAATACCTTTGACTCTACTTGACGTCAGGTCTTTTTCTGAGACGTTAAAACGTCTGAGAAACTTTGAGTTTAGAGTGAACAGTCCCTTTAAATACGTTTCTGAGACACACATAACCTGTTTCATGTTCTTTGCTTCTTTCTTTGGTATTTTAGTTTGAGTGGAAGACTTGTGTAAAGTTCCTTCATTTAGATTCTGTTCTGCTTTTAAAGCCTCTGAAACACGAACCCCTGTGCCACCAGTTCCACTTTCATGACTAAAAGCTCTGCGTCCCAAATGGCACCCCATTCCCTATATAGTGTACTGCATTTGACCAGGGCCCATACGTCCCAAATGGCACCCCATTCCCTATATAGTGTACTGCATTTGACCAGGGCCCATACGTCCCAAATGGCACCCCATTCCCTATATAGTGTACTGCATTTGACCAGGGCCCATACGTCCCAAATGGCACCCCATTCCCTATATAGTGTACTGCATTTGACCAGGGCCCATACGTCCCAAATGGAACCCCATTCCCTATATAGTGTACTGCATTTGACCAGGGCCCATACGTCCCAAATGGCACCCCATTCCCTATATAGTGTACTGCATTTGACCAGGGCCCATACGTCCCTAATGGCACCCCATTCCCTATATAGTGTACTGCATTTGACCAGGGCCCATACGTCCCTAATGGAACCCTATGTAGTACATGTAGTACCTCAAATACCTTATTATTATCTATACTGATGCCTGGTCACTTTACCCTGCCTTCATGTACATATCTACCTCAAATACCTTATTATTAACTATCCTGATGCCTAGTCACTTTAAAAATACGCTATGGATTTAACATGCATTCTTATTTGCTAATCTAATTTCTAAAGAATATACATCAATATCATTAACTGTGAATTGGAGTCCAATATTGCGTCCTAAAGCGTACTGGTTCTCCCTGTATATAGCGCATGTGACAAATAACATTTGATTTGATTTTTTATTTTAACTGCAAATGTACCCTGCCGTTACACTGTCTGGCCCTGAACTGGGACTTTAACCTGCCGTTACACTGTCTGGCCCTGAACTAGGGAGTTTACCCTGCCGTTACACTGTCTGGCCCTGAACTGGGAGTTTACCCTGCCGTTACACTGTCTGGCCCTGAACTGGGAGTTTACCCTGCGTTACACTGTCTGGCCCTGAACTGGGAGTTTACCCTGCCGTTACACTGTCTGGCCCTGAACTGGGAGTTTACCCTGCCGTTACACTGTCTGGCCCTGAACTGGGAGTTTACCCTGCCGTTACACTGTCTGGCGCTGAACTGGGAGTTTACCCTGCCGTTACACTGTCTGGTCCTGAACTGGGAGTTTACCCTGCCGTTACACTGTCTGGCCCTGAACTGGGAGTTTACCCTGCCGTTACACTGTCTGGCCCTGAACTGGGAGTTTACCTGCCGTTACACTGTCTGGCGCTGAACTGGGAGTTTACCCTGCCGTTACACTGTCTGGCCCTGAACTGGGAGTTTACCCTGCCGTTACACTGTCTGGCCCTGAACTGGGAGTTTACCCTGCCGTTACACTGTCTGGCCCTGAACTGGGAGTTTACCCTGCCGTTACACTGTCTGGACCTGAACTGGGAGTTTACCCTGCCGTTACACTGTCTGGCCCTGAACTGGGAGTTTACCCTGCCGTTACACTGTCTGGCCCTGAACTGATAATACAAACAGCACAGAACGCATCCCAAATGGCACCCTATTGCCTAGTGCACTACTTTGAACCACAGCCCTATTGGACTCTGGTCCAATGAAGTGCACTACATTCGTAATAGGGCATCGTAATAGGGAATCAGACATCCAAACACTCTGGTTATGAATGAAACCTAATTCATTAGGTACCAGGGAAAAATCACAAATGTATTAATTACCAATTCATAAATTACAAATTCAAACATTCCCTATGATTTCCATTCATGACTGGATTAAGGATGATGACTCGGAGAATGTATATAACACTGTTATATACTTTTTTGGATTCTACACCAGCAGCTCCTTTACAACCTTCGGATGTGCATGTAGTCCGATGTCTCATCCATCCCGTCTGTCTGTATCTGCCTGTCAACCCCTGTTTCACCTTTAGAACCGTAATCCTTTTAATTTGTTTCCAGGAAAGATACGTTGGTTATTCTCCAGGTTGCAGATGCAGGCAGTTTACGTTGCCTGCCCTGCCCAGCCCCAAGCTACTCCTCTGGGGTCGGCCAAGCCTGATCAGCCGGTGGAGATGGGTCCAGGCATACGCCAACCGGCCCGACACTAGGTCCAATGAGGCCGGGTCCACACCTGCCCAGAGGTTCCCTGCCGAACCCCCCAAACGTCCCCCCGAACCCTCCACTGGACCCCCCACTGGAGCTCCCACCGCCTCCTTGACCAACTTAGGTAGAGCCACAGAGTCAGGCAGGATGGAGCCGCTGTCGCTCCCCAGGAAGAGGTGATCCAGAGCCCGGTTCTGGAGGCTGTCCCTCAGGCTGCGGACCAGCTCCTCCATTCTGGCCACCAGATGGCGCTCCTCCCAGGCCTACAAAAGAAAGACAAGTAGACAGTCAGTAGAAACCTTAGTCACCTATTTACAAATGATTTCCAAACATACATATGATAGAGCAGATCCACCCATAGAGGAAAATACATCAGAACTCATAACAGGTCTCCAATCAAATCAGATCAAAGTTTATCGTCATATGAAGGGATGGCCAACAATGACAAAATACAATTACAAATTACAATAGCAAAACATTATAAATTACAATAGCAAAGCATTACAAATTAAATTTTACAATTTAGTCATTTAGCAGACGCTCTTATCCAGAGCGACTTACAGTTAGTGAGCGCATACATCTTTTCAAACTGGTCCCCCGTGGGAATCGAACCCACAACCCTGGCGATGCAAGCGCCATGCTCTACCAACTGAGCTACATGGCAAAACATTTCAACTTACAATAGCAAAACATTACACATTACAATAGCAAAACATTACAAATTACAATACCAAAACTTTATAAATTAAAATAGCAAAACATTACAAATTACAACAGCAAAATACCCAAAAGATTAATGTATCAAAATAAATGACAAAATATGTTTGCAAAGTATTGTATTTAATTAAAAAACATGTATTTTGTATTTTAAAATACAGAAATACATTTGCAAGTAGCCCCCTTAATAAAACAGCAGTCTCAGTAAAGGTTACAGAAACATTTTACTTGCTATGACTGTGACGTTTGTTGTTTATCTACCTTAGTTGAATGCACTGACTGGAAGTCACTCTGGATAAGACCATCTGCTAAATGTAAATGTTAAAAATTCAAAGAACACTGGTTATTATAATTGGCCTTGTTTAGGGGCGGAGCTCATTAGAATAATACCCAGCATGTTTTGCAAGTGTTCATTTTCACATTTACATTTTGGTAATTTAGCTGATACTTTTATCACACCATAGTGCCATCAGACTTCTGATACCAATGCAAGGTGGACCACTATAAATAAATGGTATAGAAAAAGTATGTTGTATTTTGAAAATATAAAAATAACAGCTCTCTAAAGTCTCTTGTTACAAAATACATTGAATTGTAGTTCATGCCAGTGAAATACAAATTGCAAAGTACTCAGCAGTAATTAAAATAAGAAAAACTGCCCATCTCTGGTCAGATGCATTATACATACACCATAGTGTACACAGTAAAATGACAGTGCAGCATCTATTTAAAAAGTATTCAGTAAAAATAAGTAGTAAATAAAGTAGTAAGAGAACACATTAAGAGTACCTATTAAAGGTATGTTGTAACCTGTAGTACCTATTAAAGGTATGTTGTAACCTATAGTACCTATTAAAGGTATGGTGTAACCTATAGTACCTATTAAAGGTATGGTGTAACCTGTAGTACCTATTGAAGGTATGGTGTAACCTACCTCTGCAGGAGAGCTGAGTAGCAGACGCAGCCAGGCTGTCTTCAGCGTGTAGGAGGAGAGGACTGACCTCCAGAGCGCCCCCCGGTTACTGTCCAGGGCCTGGCCACCCAGGTCACGCAGGGCCTTGGTCAGCTGGAGCACCTTGAGGTGGCAGGAGGGCTGGGGGGAGCGGCCACGGAGCCAGCCCAGCAGACGCTGCTCCTGGCGGGGGAAGAAAATAGTCCACAGGTCCTTCTCCTGGCTCTGTGGGTCCTGGTGCTGGTCTGGAATGAGTGGATGATAATGAAAGGAGAGAATGGATGGATGGATGAAGGATAGAAGGAAGGAAGAAGGGAAGGAAGAAGACAGAGAATTAATGATTTAGTGAATTAATTCAATAATAATAATGAAAAGAAAGAAAGAAAGAAAGAAAGAAAGAAAGAAAGAAAGAAAGACAGAAAGAAAGACAGAAAGATAGAAAGAGAATTTCCTACTTTATTTTTACTTTTGTTAAATGGACATCATATCATCTCCCCCTTATCACCTGAACACATCCTGTATTAGTCCCTCGCCACTGAGGGAGGCCTTCGTTTCCATGGGACCATGTAGACCCGTCTCCGAGGGGATGCGGGGAGGACGCCGTATTGCCATGGAGTGTGACCGCAGACTAGTCCCGGCGGGGGTGTGACGTAGCCTGGCACACTGTCTGCGGGGGGGGGCGCGTCAACTCAGCTGTAACAAACCGCTGCTCGAAAGGGTAAACGTAGGTCTAGGGAAAGTGGAACCGGCGGTAGAACCAACCGGGGGACGGAGGTCCGGGTCAGGCGTAATCCCCCCGCCCCCTCCCCCTGACCCCCCCGTGACCCCCTACGATGCCTCACCGTGACCTTTCGGGCGCCCCCGAAAGGTGCAAACCGTAAAAAGTTCCGTGAAATGCGGTGTTTCGTACCCCGTCACTACACGAGGCGTCCCCTAGCTGCAAAGCCGGGACGCCGCTCCACCCACCGTCCTCTGAGCATCCCTTTCACCTTCCTTCCCTCCTCCTTCAAGACCCTCCTTACCTTGGCCCCCCCCCCCGGGGGGGTTTTGGGGGGCCCCCGGGGGGTTTTAAAAAAAAAGGGGGGGGGGAAAGGGGGGGGGGGGGGGAAAAAAAAAAATTTTTTTTAAAAAAAAAAAAAAAAAGGGGGGGGGGTTTGGGGGAAAAAAAGGGAAAAAAAAAAAGGGAAAAAAGGGGTGGAAAAAAAAAAAAAAAAAAAAAAAAAAAAAAAAAAAGAAAAAAAAAAAAAAAAAAAAAAGAAAAAAAAAAAAAAAAAAAAAAAAAAAACCAAAAAAAAAAAAAAGAAAGAAAAAAAAAAAATTTTTTTTTTTAAAAAATTTCCCCCCCCCTAAACCCCCTGAAAACCCCCCCCCCCCGGGGGGAAAAACCCCCCAAGGGGGGGGGGGGGGGGGGGGGGTTTTAAAAATTGGGGGGGGTGGGGGTTTTTGGGGGGGGGGGGGGGGGGTTGGGGGGGGGGGGGGGGGGGGGGGGGGTTCCAAAAATTTTTGGGAAAGGGGGGGGCCCCCGGGGCCCGGGAAAAAGGGAAAAGGGGGGGGGGGGGGCCCCCCCCCCGGGGGGGGGCCCCCCCGGACGGGGCCCCCCCCCCCCCCCGGGGGCCCCCCGGAAAAGTTTAAATTTTGGGGGCCCCCCCGGGGGAAAAAAAGGGGGGGCCCCCCCCCCCCGGGCCCCCCCCCCCCCCCCCCCCTTTTTTTTCCCCCCTTTTTCCCCCCCTTCCCCCCCTTTTTTCCCCCCCCTTTTTCCCCCTTTTCCCTCCCCCCGGGGGGTTTTCCCCTTTTTTCCCTTTAAAGGGGAAAAAAGGGGGGGGGGGCCCCCCCCCCCCCAAAAAAAAAAGGGGGGGGGGGGCCCCCCCCCCCCCAAAAAAAAAAAAAAAAAAAAAAAAAACCCCCCCCCCTTTTTCCCCCCCCCCCCCCCAACCCCCCCCCCCGGGGGCCCTTTTTCCCCCCCTTTTTTTTTCCCCCCCTTCCCCCCCCCCCCCCCTTTTTTTTCCCCCCCCCCCCCCCGGGGCCTTTTTTTTTTTTTTTCCCCCCCCCCAAATTTTTCCCCTTTTCCCCCCCCCGGCCCCCCCCCCCCTTTTTTGGGCCCCCCCAAAACCCAAAATTTTTTTAAAAACCCCCCCCCTTTTTCCCAAATTTTTCCCCCCAAAAAAACCCCCCCAAAAAACCCAAAACCCCCCAAAAAAAGGGGGGTTTTTAAAACTGGGCCTTTTTAACCCCCCGAAAATTTTTTTTTTTCCCCCCCCTTGGGGCCCCAAAAAAGGGGAAAATTTTCCCCCCCCCCCCCCCAAAAGGCCAGGGGGCCCCGGGGCCCCCGGGGGGGGGGGGCCCCCCCCCCTTTTTGGCCACCCTTTTTTAACCCCCCCCCCCCCGGGGGGGGTTTTGGGGAAAACCTTGGAATTTTTTTTTTGGGGAAAAAAAAAAAAAAACCCCTTTAAAAAAAAAGGAATAATTCCCAAAAGGGTTTTAATTTTTTCCCCCCCCCGGAAAACCCCAAAATAAGGGGCCCCTTTTTAAAGACCCCCCCGGGGGGGGGGAAAAAGGGGGGGGGGGGAAAAAAATTAAAAAGGGGGGCCCGGAAAAAAAAGGGTTTTTTTTGGGGGGGGCCCCCCCGGGAAAAGGGAAAAACCCCCCCAAAAGGGGGGGAAAAAAAAAACCCCCCAAAAATTTTAAAAAAAAAAAAAAAAGGGGTTCCTTTTTGGGGGTTTTTGGGGTGGGGGGGTTTTAGGGGGGGGGGGGAAAAAAAAACCCCCGGGGGGGGGGAAAAAAAAAAGGGGGGGAAAAAAAGGGGGGGGGGAAAAAAAAGGGAAAAAAAAAAAAAAACCCCTAAAAAAAAAAAAAATTTTTTTTTTTGGGGGGGGAAAAAAAAAAAAAAAAAAAAAAAAAATTTTTTTTCCCATTTTCCCCCCCCAAAAAAATTTGGACTACCAAAATTTGGACGCCAAGGACTCTGGATATCCATGGATTCCGGCCTGACCAGCTCCCGACCATTGGCCACGTGGGCCTTGTGTGCCCAGAACGTGGGGAAAAGACAGCGCACCCAGGGGCTCGTATAGTCCTCCAGGCCCCCGACGACCCCGAATTTCGAGCCCCGTCAGCGGCCTGAGGGGCAATTTTTGGGGCCCCTGGGTGGGTGAGTCAGATGGCAGTTTACCATGAAGTCCAATTCATAGGAGTTTTCATATTGAAAGAGGCACAGAATCAAAGGAAATGAACACAGCATCAAAGTATTATATGAGTTTTTTCCATAAGAAGAACAAGAATCACAGTGGGAACCGGGAACTAAACGACAGAAAGACGGGGAGTGGGCGAGAGGAAGGCGGGGAGAGAGAGAGCAGAGATGACGGCAGAGAGAATCAGAGAGAGAAACATGTAGATATAGAGTGTAGATAGGAGTGAAGAAGGAGAGAGAGAGAGGAACAAACACCCTACCTGGAGTTGACAGCATTAATCTCTCAAATATGCCCCCTAGACACAACTATGACAAAACAACCAACAAAAAACGGGTCACAATTTCTGCAGCTCTGTTGCACGCTCGGCCTGTACATAGTCAATGGTAGGCTTCGAGGGGACTCTTACGGTAGGTACACCTACAGCTCATCTCTGGGCAGTAGTACTGTAGATTACTTTATCACTGACACCACTATCAGATCACAGCAAATTCAGTCAACCTGAACAGAGCAATAAACAGTCATGAGGCATCAAAGCCAAAGGAACTGCATAATATTTTAAAATGCTATGGATGGAAGGAAAGTAGTGTTGAAACCTACCAAAAAACTATTAGGCAACAACAAATTCCATCATTTTTAGACAACTTCCTGGTCAAAATGTTTCAATGTAATAGTGGAGGTGTAAACTTGGCAGTAGAAAACCTAAACAGTATATTTGACCTCTCAGCTTCCCTATCAAATCTAAAAATCTCTAACAGAAAACCAAAGAAAAGTAATAACAGTGATAAATGGTTTGATGAAGAATGCAAAAACCTAAGAAAGAAATTGAGAAACCTATCCAACCAAAAACATAGAGACCCAGAAAACCTGAGCCTACGCCACAGACTATGGTGAATCACTAAAACAATACAGAAATACACTATGGAAAAAGAAGGAACAGCATGTCAGAAATCAGATCAATGTAATTGAAGAATCCATAGACTCTAACCACTTCTGGGAAAATTGGAACACACTAAACAAAAAACAACATGAAGAGCTATCTATCCAAAACGGAGATGTATGGATAAACCACTCCTCCAATCTTTTTGTCTCTATAACAAAGAACAAACAGCAAAAACATATACATGATCAAATACACATAATAGAATCAGCTATTAAAAACTACCAGAACCCACTGGATTCTCCAATTACATTGAATGAACTACAGGACAAAATACAAACCCTCCAACTCAAAAAGGCCTGTGGTGTTGATGGTATCCAAAATGAAATGATAAAATATACAGACTACAAATTCAAATTGGCTATACTTAAACTCTTTAACATCATCTCAGCTCTGGCATCTTCCCCAATATTTGGAACCAAGGACTGATTACCCCAATCCACAAAAGTGGAGACAAATTTGACCCCAATAACTATCATGGGATATACGTCAACAGCAACCTTGGGAAAATCCTTGTGAAATCAACGTAAAATACCAAATAATGCATGCAGAGCAGAATTAGGCCGATACTCGCAAATCCAGAAAAGAGCCGTTAAATTCTACAAGCTGGTCCTGGGGCTCTGTTCACAAACACAAACAGACCCCACAGAGCCCCAGGACAGCAACACAATTAGACCCAACCAAGTCATGAGAAAACAAAAATATAATTACTTGACACATTGGAAAGAATTAACAAAAAAACTGAGCAAACTAGAATGCTATTAGGCCCTAAACAGAGAGTACACAGTGGCAGAATACCTGACCACTGTGACTGACCCAAAATTAAGGAAAGCTTTGACTATGTACAGACTCAGTGAGCATAGCCTTGCTATTGAGAAAGGCCACCGTAGGCAGACCTGGCTCTCAAGAGAAGAAAGGCTATGTGCACACTGCCCACAAAATGAGGTGGAAACTGAGCTGCACTTCCTAACCTCCTGCCAAATGTATGACCATATTAGAGACATATATTCCTCTGATTACACAGACCAACAAAGAATTCGAAAACAAATCCAATTTTGATAAACTCCCATATCTACCGGGTGAAATACCAGTGTGCAATCACAGCAGCAAGATGTGTGACCTGTTGCCACAAGAAAAGGGCAACCAGTGAAGAACAAACACCATTGTAAATACAACCCATATTTATGTTTATTTATTTTCTCTTTTGTACTTTAACTATTTGCACATCGTTATAACACTGCATATAGACATAATATGACATTTAAAATGTTTGGTGTGTAATGTTTACTGTTCATTTTATTTTTATTTTATTTTTAACTTTAGTTTATTATCCATTTCACTTGCTTTGGCAATGAATACATATGTTTCCCATGCCAATAAAGCCCTTTGAATTGAATTGAATGGAGAGAGAGCGGGAGAGAGATAGAAAGAGAGAGAAAGAGAGAGAAAGAGAGAGAGAGAGACAGAGAAGGAGAGATAGACAGAGAGAAAGATAGATAGAGATAGAGAGAAAGAGAGAGAGAGAGAGAGAGAGAGAGAGAGAGAGAGAGAGAGAGAGAGAGAGAGAGAGAGAGAGAGAGAGAGAGAGAGAGAGAGAGAGAGAGAAAATATATGATGTGTGTGGACTGGGTACCTTATGAAGAGGTAGCAGAGGATACAGGCCAGTAGTAGTTTGATGAGTGCGAGAAAGACCGGAGGGCCCTGGTCAGAGCAGGGCTCTGTCCCAGCCTCGTACCCAGGATCGGGGCCTGATTCTGGGCCTGATTCTGAGCTTAGCCAGTGGGTGATGTGGTGGTGGAGAACCAGACCTGTCAACACACAGGTTAACAGAGGCCAGAACACCCGCAGGTTCAGAGTGTACACACTCATCGTCCTCTCTCGCTCTCTCTGTCTTCTCGTTCCCCCTCTCTCCTCCTCTCTGTTGCACCTAGATTCCTTCGTTCCTTGTCTTCTTCTTGTCTGTCCAGGACTTGGGGTTGTTCCTTAGCAATGCCAGAGAACTGAGACAGGGTCAGAGCAGGCTAACCCATCATGACTAACACACACTCTCTATCCCCCTTCCTCCCTCTCTCTCCACTCCCTCTCTCTCTCTCTCTCTATCTCTCTCTCTCTCCACCTCTCTCTCTCTCTCTCTCTCTCTCTCTCTCTCTCTCTCTCTCTCTCTCTCTCTCTCTCTCTCTTTCTCTCTGTCTATCTCTCCTTCTCTGTCTCTCTCTCTCTCTCTCTCTCTCTCTCTCGCCTTCCGAGCCTCAATGTTGTTCTCTCTGTTTTCTCTTCTTCTCCTCTCTCCTTCCTTCTTGTAACATACCTCCCACTTCTTCTTCTCCTCCTCCTCTCCAGCTCTTTATGGAGTTTGACGTATGTTCAGTTGAAAGTCAGTTGAAGTTCCTCTTCAGAAGTTACCCCTCCTTCTCTCCCTCTTGTTCCCCCTCCTCTTTAGAGTTGTATGTCAGGTTTATCTTTCTTTGTGAAGATTCCTCTCCAACAGGTTCTCTCTCTCTTGCCTTCTCTCTCACCCGGTCTCTCTCTCTCTCTCTCTCCCGGTCTCTCTCTCTCTCTGGTTTTTCTGCCAGTGAGCTCAGAGGAAATGCCAAACTCTTGAGAGAGGAATTTTTGTTTAAAAAAAAATAGAGGGAGGAGGAGGAGAGAGAGAGAGACTGGGCAGCAACACACACTCTCCTCCCACCTCTTAAAGAGACAAAGACATTGTTTCACATCTCAACATCACATTCAAGAGGAGACAGGCTATGTCCCAAATGGCACCCTATTCCCTATATAGTGCACTACTTAAGACCAGAGCACTATGGGCCCTTGTTGAAAGTAGTGCACTATATAGGGAATAGGGTGCCATTTGGGACACAGTAACTATGACAGTTACTGTTGCAGCATTCACATAAGTGTCAACAAAAGTTATTCAATTCAATTTGACTGATTTGATATATACTGTACACTGAGTGTAAAAAACATTAAGAACACCTTCCTAATATTGTGTTGCACCCCCTTTTGTCCTCAGAACAGCCTAAATTCGTTGGGGGCATGGACACTACAAGATGTCGAAAGCGTTCCACATGGATGCTGGCCCATGTTGACTCCAATGCTTCCCACAGATGTGTCAAGTTGGCTGGATGTCCTTTGGGTGGTGGACCAGTCTTGATACACACGGGAAACTGCTGAGCGTGAAAAACCCAGCAGCGTTGCAGTTATTGACACATACCGGTGCACCTGGCACCTACTACCATACCCCGTTCAAAGGCACTTCAATATTTTGTCTTGCCCATTCACCCTCTGAATGGCACTCATACCCAATCCATGTCTCAAGGGTTAAAAATCCTTCTTTAACCTGTCTCCTCCCCTTCATCTACACTGATTGAAGTGGATTTATCAGGTAATATCAATAAGGGATCACAGCTTTCACCTGGATTCACCAGGTCAGTCTATGTAATGGAAAGAGCAGGTGTTCCTAACATTTTGTACAGTCAGTGTATATCTACAACAAAGCATTACTAACAGCAAGCCTTGAGCATATATTGTGAGGACCGACAAACTACTTTGGAAAGACTAAGAGAATATATGAACTTATTATAGAATAGAATATGTTAAATAAGTGTTTTCTTCAACTTCAGTATGTCTGTGATGTGTTCAGTAATACACAAAGAAGGAGATGAAGGCCAGATGAAAAGTCGTTGTTAGTCTCTGGCACGTCACTGGTCCTTCTCTCAGGGGTCAGGGGTTAAGGTTCGTACTAATGATGGATTTCACAGGTCACGCTCAGGTCAACACTAACACCAGGGCTTATCGTGGCGGACCTCTGCCTGTGAATGTATGTGTGTGTATGTGTTTGTACGTGTGTGTGTGTGTGTGTGTGTATACACGTGTGTGTGTGTACAGTACTCCTCAGTGACTCAATAGGTCCTTGTTTAGCTACACTGGACCACACCTCTGACTAAGGTCTGTCCTGGGCTGGCTGCATCCCAAATGGCACTGGCCCATAGGGCTCTGGTCAAAAGTAGTGCACTATATAGGGGTTAGGGTGCCATTTGGGACACTTCCCGATGATGACTTCACAGTGCCCTACAGTGGAGTGTGGGAGAGGTTTAGAAGAGATGATTATACTCCTTTCTCCCCTCCACCCTCTACAGCCCATATAAACTAAACACTGTTGTCACTGACATACATTATTAAACTAACTGTTGTCACAGACATACATTATTAAACTAACTGTTGTCACTGACATACATTATTAAACTAACTGTTGTCACAGACATACATTATTAAACTAACTGTTGTCACAGACATACATTATTAAACTAACTGTTGTCACAGACATACATTATTAAACTAACTGTTGTCACAGACATACATTATTAAACTAACTGTTGTCACAGACATACATTATTAAACTAACTGTTGTCACAGACATACATTATTAAACTAACTGTTGTCACAGACATACATTATTAAACTAACTGTTGTCACAGACATACATTATTAAACTAACTGTTGTCACAGACATACGTTATTAAAATAACTGTTGTCACAGACATACATTATTAAACTAACTGTTGTCACAGACATACATTATTAAAATAACTGTTGTCACAGACATACATTATTAAAATAACTGCTGTCACAGACATACATTATTAAAATAACTGTTCTCACAGACATACATTATTAAAATAACTGTTGTTATATAATACATTATTAATGCTCTTAACTCTTTATACACAGTATACAGTGGGGAGAACCTGCCGATTTTGCAGGTTTTCCTACTTACAAAGCATGTAGAGGTCTGTAATTTTTTATCGTAGGTACACTTCAACTGTGAGAGACGGAATCTAAAACAAAAATCCAGAAAATCACATTGTATGATTTTTAAGTAATTAATTTGCATTTTATTGCATGACATAAGTATTTGATACATCAGAAAAGCAGAACTTAATATTTGGTACAGAAACCTTTGTTTGCAATTACAGAGATCATATGTTTCCTGTAGGTCTTGACCAGGTTTGCACACACTGCAGCAGGGATTTTGGCCCACTCCTCCATACAGACCTTCTCCAGATCCTTCAGGTTTCGGAGCTGTCGCTGGGCAATACGGACTTTCAGCTCCCTCCAAAGATTTTCTATTGGGTTCAGGTCTGGAGACTGGCTAGGCCACTCCAGGACCTTGAGATGCTTCTTACGGAGCCACTCCTTAGTTGCCCTGGCTGTGTGTTTCGGGTCATTGTCATGCTGGAAGACCCAGCCAATACCCATCTTCAATGCTCTTACTGAGGGAAGGAGGTTGTTGGCCAAGATCTCGCGATACATGGCCCCATCCATCCTCCCCTCAATACGGTGCAGTCCCAACCGTGAAGCATGATGTTTCCACCTCCATGCTTCACGGTTGGGATGGTGTTCTTGGGGTTGTACTCATCCTTCTTCTTCCTCCAAACATGGCGAGTGGAGTTTAGACCAAAAAGCTCTATTTTTGTCTCATCAGACCACATGACCTTCTCCCATTCCTCCTCTGGATCATCCAGATGGTCATTGGCAAACTTCAGACGGGCCTGGACATGTGCTGGTTTGAGCAGGGGGACCTTGCATGCGCTGCAGGATTTTAATCCATGACGGCGTAGTGTGTTACTAATGGTTTTCTTTGAGACTGTGTTCCCAGCTCTCTTCAGGTCATTGACCAGGTCCTGCCGTGTAGTTCTGGGCTGATCCCTCACCTTCCTCATGATCATTGATGCCCCACGAGGTGAGATCTTGCATGGAGCCCCAGACCGAGGGTGATTGACCGTCATCTTGAACTTCTTCAATTTTCTAATAATTGTGCCAACAGTTGTTGCCTTCTCACCAAGCTGCTTGCCTATTGTCCTGTAGCCCATCCCAGCCTTGTGCAGGTCTACAATTGTATCCCTGATGTCCTTACACAGCTCTCTGGTCTTGGCCATTGTGGAGAGATTGGAGTCTGTTTGATTGAGTGTGTGGACAGGTGCAGTTAATGCAGGTAATGAGTGGAGAACAGGAGGGCTTCTTAAAGAAAAACTAACAGGTCTGTGAGAGCCGGAATTCTTACTGGTTGGTAGGTGATCAAATACTTATGTCATGCAATAAAATGCAAATTAATTACTTAAAAATCATCCAATGTGAGACCTCTACATGCTTTGGAAGTAGGAAAACCTGCAAAATCAAATACGTGTCCTCCCCACTGTAAATGATTTAGAATGAGAACACCTTCAGACAATGCTTCTCTATTCTGACGTCTGTCTGTATGAATGGGAGGGTGGTGGGTGCGTCCCAAATGGCAGGCTACTCCCTGCATAGTGCACTACTTTAGACTAGGGCCCTGCTAGTGTACTACTTTAGACTAGGGCCCTGCTAGTGTACTACTTTAGACTAGGGCCCTGCTAGTGTACTACTTTAGACTAGGGCCCTGCATAGTGCACTACTTTAGACTAGGGCCCTGCTAGTGTACTACTTTAGACTAGGGCCCTGCTAGTGTACTACTTTAGACTAGGGCCCTGCTAGTGTACTACTTTAGACTAGGGCCCTGCTAGTACACTACTTTAGACTAGGGCCTTGCTAGTGCACTACTTTAGACTAGGGCCTTGCTAGTGTACTACTTTAGACTAGGGCCCTGCTAGTGCACTACTTTAAACTAGGGCCCTGCATAGTGCACTACTTTAGACTAAGGCCCTGCATAGTACACTACTTTAGACTAGGGCCTTGCATAGTGCACTACTTTAGACTAGGGCCTTGCTAGTGCACTACTTTAGACTAGGGCCTTGCATAGTGCACTACTTTAGACTAGGGCCTTGCTAGTGCACTACTTTAGACTAGGGCCCTGCTAGTGCACTACGTAGGGAATATAGTCTCTCTCA